CATGACTTCGCGACTAACAACAACAACCCACACACCTGGAAAAACATAGGCATCCAAAGGAGAAAGATGGGGCACATCTCCAACACATCACCCTTGCCTCAAAGACCACATCAGCCATCAGCTCACCATGTTTTCCTGTTCTCACCTCAGAGAGATTGCATGCATATTCTACTCTTTTACAAAAGGTGGATGTTCTGTGTGCAGGAAAGCTGACAGTGTGGTTGGTTGCATGTAAGTGCACAGGACATTGCACTATTGCTACAAAACACTCACCTGGAAACATTCTAGGTGTGACTAAGAGTTGTCTAGCAAACTCCAGCCCCTCAAACCTTCCAATTTCAGGGCTTTAATAGGTTGCCTTATTTTCAGCCTTATTGACTGAGCCTTATTGACTGAGAGTAGCTCTCCTGAATTTCAGTCTGTGAACTTTCCAGGACCTATTTGGCAATGTTAGGAATTAAAAACAAGACCCCTTGCATTCAAAGTCTGTGGTACGGACCTTCTATTGCAAGGTCCACCTTTCCAAGCACAGCTAGAATCATTTGCCCGAAAGCTGAGAAATGTCAGATAGCACCGTCTTCCCCATTAGTTTCCCACACATATGATGTATAATACCACCCAACAGGCTCTAAGTGTTCTTGTGATCTAAGAATGTTATTTCTCCTATACAAGCAGAGGTAGCTTATATTTTGGGGGTTCTACAAGAAGGGTTGAACCAGAATCTTAAAACAAATACTCTCAATCACCACATAGCCATGATGAGGATTATCACTCACAATACACCCTGAAAAAATGCCCTCGTGGAGAAATACTTTTGTGTTGTCCTTGTTTCTCTACATGGAAAATGAGTCTTGAAGTTATTTTTCTTACTACAGCCCCCTCTGAACCCCTTGACCATTTCCCACTTAAGTTCTTGGCTTGGAGGCAGTACTTCTGGTAACCTAACTTCTGCAACCCACTGTCTTGAAATTAAAGCTTTTTCAAGGGCGCAGGAGCTCTGTGCTAGGGACATTTGAGGTTGTACTTTAGCCAGACTCTTCCTTCCTCTATGAAGAAAGCTCTTCTTTCCTGGATCACAGGCTCTTTTTTTTTTCCAGCCTCGAAATCTTCTGGGGAAAGTCCTGGGACACCCTTGATGCAATGTTGAAAATATGAGAGCTGTTGTAGAGCAATAATTATATCTTTCTGCAAAACATTCCTGAGGAAGATGGTAGATGGCCATACCTAGGCAAATCATTGTGGAAGCAGGTGCTTGAGGGAAACTGTTAGCTCAGTGACTTTGTAGCACAATGTTTTCGACATTTTAGAACATCCACTTGGTCAACAGCTCTTGGCTTCAGTAGCCACTATAAAGCAGGAATGGGGCTCCCAGAGGGGTGCATCTGCTTTCCATCAACCACCGATTATCCTGTGGTTTCCCATCTTTTCTCATTTCTTCCCCCATTCTAAAAGGATGACATGCCCCTCCTAAGGCTCAGGCTCTGGCAGTAAGGCCTTTAAACTATTATGTGCCTGGGGTGGGGAGTACTTTTGACCACACACCTTGTACCCTTGGCCCCTCCCTCTTCACCTTCCTTTCAGTCCAGCACCGAAATGCAGCCCTTCACAGCTTCTTCAAAACTGACTGTTCGCAGGCTGAAGGATGTTCATCGTCTTTTATAGCATGCATACAAAACCCTTCCTATCTCACCTTCAACAAAAAGCCTGCTTTAAACGTACCATCAGTTTCATAAGTAGTTTGCACCACGGTATGCAGAACTTGTGATTAAGAAACAGACCTCCAGGTCCATTCACTGTGTGGAAACAGTCATGCAATTCATTGGATCCTCACTAACATGAGAAGGAGAATAGACAATAGATGGTTAATTCATGTAGCAAAATGGCCTGACTTTTGAGAACTTTTATAGACTAGTATGTTGGTATTTCACACCTTTCTACAATAAAACCATGTTTGCAAAAGTAAGGATGCAGGTAACAAAATATAAATTATTCTTACTGTTTGTGTTTAGGTAAAAATTTTGCAAATGCTGGAAGAAAGACTTGGAAGGGCACAATCTAATCTTGATGCCTCCAAAATCAGAGGATTACTGGATTCCATGCATGCATGGGGAAGAATGTGGAGGCACAGATTTATTCATTTATTTACATATATTTATAGGCCGCCTATAATTGCTGAGGCCTTCCTAGGTGGCTTTCCTGACCCACTTGGCAAAGCGGGCAACTGTTAAGCATGGCCCTTTGGAGCAGCACCAATACACCAGTATGCATTGCATCTTGGTGGTGTTGGCCACTATCTCCTCCTCCTACCCCCCCAGAACACCCCAAAAGCCTCAGAGAAGCATCCAGTGTGGTTGTTCCACAAGAGCTGTGAGGGTGGCAGGATCTGCAAACAGATTTCCAGCTTTGAGGGCAGAACCATTTTCCAACTATGCAGCTAGGAACCCGAAAAAATCTTACAGCTGTCTAGACAGTCTAGTGGCTATTGGATTGCTCTGTCCTATGCTGGCTGGGAACACACTGGAATCATAGGCCTTTTTTAAAAAATAATAGTGCTACATGGAAAAGTAGAAGCAGGTAGTATTGAACTGATATCAAACACATTTACTGCATATAGAAATCTCTTCTTGATGCAAAGATAGATAAATAAATCCCCCCAAACAAAAACCTTTTGATAGTACTGCTCAAAGAAATGATATAGAAACAGAGCAAGTCAGAAGGGGCCTCCCGGGCCATCTAGTCTGACCTCCGGCACCAGCCAGCTCCGCTCACGACACGCCCACCATGTGGATGTCCAGCCTATCCATGAACACCTGCACCGATGGGGCCTCAGCCACCTCCCGTGGAAGCCCATTCCACACCCTCAGGGTCCTGACTGTCAGGAAGTGCTTCCTGGCATCCAAATGGAACCTTGGCCATTTGGAAACCTTTGGAATGGAACCTTGGCCATATAGAAAAGGAGTGAAATCAATGAAAGTGATGCACCAAGAAAGAAGATTGATTGCAAATTCTTATAATAGGACATTTAATTTATTTCTTAGATATTGGAACCATATACAGGAAATGATCTCAGATTCACCACAATTTTATGAATTTATTATATTTACATATACATGCTGCTAATATAATAAAAGGGAAAACTTTGAGAATAAATTTAACATCTTATGGTTTTAGGGGATACATTCCATTCAGCCTGGTAATATATAGCCCAGAAATGAAAAAAATAAAACATTCAATAGTTTAGAATCATATCTTGACTATATGGAATAGCACATTTTCAAGAGATGCATGTTTCAGTTATAACATGCTCTTAATTCACTTCACAAAGTGTAAGTTGCAATCAAAAGACAACAAGTGCAAGCCAATGAAACAGAGGCACACACTTTTTCACAGGAACTCTCAGCAATTTAGAACATGCCTTTTTAAAAACAGTCAAGACATTTACAACACCACCTATCTATATGCCTACTCAGAAGTAAGTTCCATTGAAACTAACAGAGCTTACTGCAAGGAAAGTGCAGGTAAGATTGCTGCCTTAGCTTTACCTGACTTTGGCCTGTATCCATGGGATCATGAATATCCCTTCTAAAAATAGATTCCATTCATCCAGAACACATCGTGATGAACTAGACTGTACCTGTCATGCCTTTGCCAGGCAAATTACCTGGCTAATGACCCAGAACAGAGAGTGGATGCTTTCTTAATAAATAGCATATGCACAAACCTTCCCTGAATGTTGTGAATCTGGGAAATAAGGAAGGTTGGTGGTACCCAGCATGATGGAGAAGGATGGTGCCCGATAATCATAATTATGGGCAATGGAAGGAATGATGGAAAGGGGATGTCACCGGCCTGATGGGGAACCTAAATGACTTATATTATTCCCCTCTCCAATCCTTTCCACATGATATTGGTTGCTGCAGCAACTACAGTTGTTTCTACAGGTGAACAGCCCAGCCACTGTGGCTCATGCAGCTGCAACCTCATGATAGATTGCTATTATGCACACTGTATGGTAATGCTCTTTTGCCTGGTTCAGAAGTGCAGAATGTAGCAGACAGGATGTTCAATGAAGCACTTAGCTATACATATATTACACCTGTGTTAAAAGAACTGCAGTGGCCACCCATCAGCTATTCTATCTTCAAAGAAGGCCCCTTTGGCAGTCAAATATCACCATGTAACATCTCAAAAGCAATTCATCTCAGTAGTGGTGCTCACCCTCTAAACAGCCTAGATATTATAATGTTGTGCATTTTAAGTGTGCTAGCGTTATGTGTCTTTATCTCTGAATGTGACCTGCTTAGAAATTTTAATATATGCAATAGCATACAGGTATTTGGGGATACAGAGATGCGTCTTGTGTGGGACTCCAAAGGGTGGTGGATCTGTCACTTGTGGAAAGCTATGTTGTCTGACTCAACCTGAGCTCAGCTTGTACAATTCAAGCACTACAAACCCAGTAAGTCCCTAGTTACCTGTTCTGCCAGATGATAAGAATCCAAATAAATTCCAAAGAATGAATAAAATCCAAAGAATCCTGAAGAAGTCGGGAGCCTGTTACAACATTAACATACAACTGGGCAAAGATTGTAGCAAATTGAGCACTGAACTGAACAAACTTTGGGTTTAGAAAACAGACTGCCTATCTATGTTCTTCATACTGTCTCCATCTTCTTGTGAACAAGGAAGTGAAAATCACCCCATTCTCCAACAGAAGCCTGTAAACCTATTTACAAATGGACAGCAATCCTAAGGCTGATACCTGAGGTTACAGAAGATGTGGTGAATATCTGTTCTTGTATAAATTATGTTTAAGATTACAACATTAGCATTTATTTAGTAGGGAAAATGTGTCTCTTCCATTTAGATCACTTTCTTTTTCAAATGTTTTCTTTCTTCCCTTCTTTTGCTTAATGTCTTTTAAAATTATTTGAGGCATCTGCAATTCTTTGGCGAATTCTAGCTTTCTTCCCAACATGTGCACTTATTTTTCTGCTTTCACCCATTTCCCAAGAGAAATTAGGTTTTAAAATGAAAGATCTTTTTGAAAGCTTTTTTGAAATTCTCATTACAGAGTGGATATATAATAGGATTTAATGTAGAATTCACATAGCCGAGCCAAATTGTGAACATGTGAAAAGAGCGATCGTAGCAGATTTCGCAAAAGGCCATGACCATAAATAATACAAAATATGGAATCCAGCACAACATAAAGGCTGCCATTATAATGCCTAACTGTTTGGCCGCTTTTCTGTCTCGGTTCACACATGACTCTTGATTTTTGCTAACGGAATGAAAGCGTAGCCTTCCCCAGCTGTTCTTCCAGCTGCAGTGACTTGCTGTGTCTTTTCTATTGGTACGTTGAAAGAAACAGTTTTCAGTGTCACAATTCTGCTCCAGGACAGAATCAGAATAATTTCCAGAAGAAGCCCTCTCTTCAAAAATGTGTTCCTCTAAACTTTTCCTAATCTCACAATCCTGGGACCAAGGGTCTTCTACATTATGAATACTTGCACTGACACTCGCATACTTCTGGTCTGTACTGCTTATCGCTACATCACCCTGGACTAGGGCTAGAGGAAAACAGCTACACTTTGCTACTTTATGGTCACTTCCACAAAAAAAACCATCTGGGCTTTTATCAAAGCTGCTTGATGGATGTTTAGCATCCATCCTTTTGTTCTGTTTAACACTGTCATTTTCATTCAAGACGTAGCCGATATATTTTCGCATGCTTTGGAAACAACTCTTTTGCATTTCCTGCGGCTTTCCACTGTGCACATCTGTTTTTTCTATAGGCAGTCTAAGTGAGCCTTGTATGAATTTTCTGTGCTGACAGTGCCTCCGGACAGCCCTGTATATCTGAGCATAGAACCAGAGCATCAGTAATGACGGGACATAGAAGTTGATCATGGCTGTCAAGACCTTAAACCACGTGGTTCTGCAAAAATCGGTTTCACATACTTTTTCACTGTCTGTTCCATTCGTAGTAGTTGTGCTGTTGTGATTTGTAAAGTTACGCCAGCCCAGAATTGGGATTACCCACATAAAAGAGAGCAGCCAAGCTACTGAGATCATGACAGAGGCTCTAGTTTTGGTCCTGTACTTGCGGTATTTCAGTGGCTGAAGGACAGAACGGTAACGATCTATGCACAGGATGAACAGACTGAATATGGAGGCTGTGCTGGCCACGTAGTCCATCGACAGCCAGAACAGGCAAGCGTTTCGAGCCAGGATCCATTTGTCACTCATCAGGTACACGATGCTCAACGGCATGACAGCTGCCCCAACGATAACATCTGCACAGGCAAGGCTGACAATATAAAGATTGCCAACGGTCTGCAGTTTCTTTTCTGTTTTCACGGCATACAGGACCAAAAGATTCATGACAACGGTGACCAACGAGATGCTTCCCAAGAACAGTCCAAGGGCAGGCTGCGCCTCTGTAGAACTCCTGTTTCTGCCAGTCAGACACATCTTTTGCTGAAGCTGGAAGGGAAAAATCAAAGTGCTGGCATATTTCAGTCTTGTTACGGAGCACGCGGGTTGCTTCCTCTGCAGTTATCTTAGAGAATCTGTAAACAAATAGAAATATGTTTGCACAACACGATAAACATCCCAGCAGTATTTACAGCTGGGCAAAGTAAAGAGTGCAATAACTGAGGGAGGATAACTAGAAGAAAGGTATGCAGCTATATCTGCAACATCTCTTGTACTCAAGTATTAGAAGTTATTCAAGTAGTCATCATTCATATGATGGATAATATCTGTGGTCCTATATCCTTAGATGCTTTATAAAGGTGAAGGTTTCCCCTTGACATTAAAGTCCAGTCATGCCTGACTCTAGAAGGCGGTGCTCATCTCCGTTTCCCGGCCGAGGGAGCCAGCGTTTGTCCCAGACAGTCTCCGTGGTCATGTGGCCGGCATGACTAAACACCGAAGTGCATGGAGTGCTGTTACCTTCCCACCAAAGTGGTACCTTTTTATCTACTTGCTTTTGAACTACAAGGTTGGCAGGAGAAGGGATCGAGCAACGGGAACTCAACCCGTTGTGCAGATTCGAACCGGCAACCTTTCGATCAACCAAGCCCAGAAGCACAGTGGTTTAAACCACTGCGCTACCTGCATCCCTTAGATGCTTTATATGCCCCAGCAAAAAGTAAAATCTGCTTTAAGTGGAGAGTGGAATTGTGCAAAATTCAGTTTTAGCATCTTAGTTAACGTCAGTTAGAGGTACACAGAAAAGGTATTATTCACTGACTGGAAGGTGCACTGAAAAGTTATTATTCATAATTCTTTCAAAAAGATTATTCCTCAGGATTGGACTAGATATTACATTAACATTTTTTAGCTAGCAGCTTTTTTTTTGTTTTGTTACTCAACAATTTGCTGGGGACCTAGTCCAGAATAACACCCTGGTGTGGGGGTTGAAGGTTTTAACCCTTTGCACCATGTTTCTCATGCAGATCTGCCTGCACCTAGAAACTACTCTACTGAAACAAATCGTAAATTGCAGATGAGCCCCAATCCTGCCATCGAGAGCCCCCTGCATGTCTGCTGAGCACAGAAGAAAAAAAAGCGTTAAACTATGATGCTGTTTATCTGTGAGAGCACTGTGATCTATGTTGTAAGTAGCTAAGAAAATGGAATACCATGTCCCTCACTGTTTATATCGGTTTGGCTTTAATCAATATTACCTTTTCAGGGTATTTTCAAAGTCAATCCTCCTATTGTTCCTCTTCTGGTACCTCCCTCCCATCTCCTATGTTAGGAAATGAGTTGGGGCAGGGAATAGAAGGTGTCAGCTGGAGGAGCATACTCTGGCCATCCTGTATTTAACCACTATCAAGTCCAGAAAGCCCACTTGTGTCATCTTTCCCTTCTCCTGTCTTCTCAGTTGTCTGGATCTCAACATCTTTGTGCTTTGGAAGGGACTTCAATGACCTCCTAACTACATCCAGCATCAGGTTGACCATGTATGAGATCCACCCAGACAATTTGTGCTTCTAGGAGTGTTGGGACTCACAGGAGTGGATAAACTGGTGGGGGGTATAGTTAGGGTCCCAGGGAATCTTGAATTTCAAGAGGCTAACTAGCTTCTTCCAAAACCAAACCAAACCTGTGTTTTCTGATGCATGTGCAGATATGGACAGCAACCTGTTGTTTCTCCTGTCAGCCAAATTACATACAGTTTCATAAGAAATTTCCAAACCCAAGATGCTCATTGAATAAATTTGTGTGTGACTGTTTTTTGTTCTTCATGTTTCAAGCTTTTGAAATGTGCCAAAAGCCACTCGTCAAGTGATTCAAAAGTCTAGAGATTGCCTTGTGTGTGAAAGGGGTGCCTCAAATCCACCTTTTCCAGCAATCCCTAAGGGTTGGGGGGCAGCTCATGTTTCTCTATGGCCCCCTGGCCTTTGCAACTACTCCCAACATGGCAGCATCTTGGGAACGTGCACAGCTTGCAGTGAACTTCTCACTGCCTTACAAAAAGAACGATGCAGCACCCTAAGCACTCCTACCTCAAAACCGTGGTTTCAGCTTTGACAGATGAGCTCGTCTGCCACAGGGTAGCTGCTTCTATAAAGGGGATCCTTGTAGTTTTGCACATTCTAGTTAGCTGCCTGGGAACAAGCACAAAATTGGGGGGGGGGGGGTTTGTTGAAGGTCCATCACACTTTTTCCACCCTTTTCCCTAAAGCTGGTCTGAAACAGGATTACAAGGTTTCGTTTCAGCAGGAGCACAAAGAGGAAGGAAAGAAGCTGCAGAGGATACAGAGTATGTTGTGTTCTGGTTTCTGCAGCCTCTTTCCTCCTTATCCTTTGGAATTCTCTCTTTGAGCTCCTTCCAAGGTGGAATTCCTGACACTGAAGAGGCAGCCAGCACAGTTATTTCTGCACTGGCTACCATAGGGTAGAAGAGACTGGAATGTGGAGTCACAGTTCCTGTTCCAAGGCTGCATTTCTGGCTCCAAACTCAGAACTGGGAATCCAAAGCATCCTATGGCCCCTAGATGCAATTTGGGGGGTGGGGGGGGCACAGGATCATGTATTACTCTCCCAGTGAATTTGTACCAATGGTAACATGAATACCTGATATTGATTTGGTGAGTAGAGTATAATTTTCCTTTGCTTTGCACTATCAAATATAGAAACAATAAAATATATTAATGCTGTATTAGGTCAAAATATAATAATGCAATTAGAATTCTTATCCAACTGTTACATACCCTTTTGACTTTCTATGTAATATGCATGTCCAATTAAATGCTTTCATTTAAAAAAATGGGTTAAATACATGTTCAGAGATCCATTAAACTCTTTGGCAAAATCCATATAATTAGCTTGCAAAAAGAATGGAAAAATAGTATGTTGAGAATTCTTCAAATATACAAAAATAAAACATTTTGATGTTAATGGGATAACAAGACTCACTTTTTATCATTGCACACCTATGAAGGCGTAGTGTTATGTGCCTTCACATTCTGGCATCCTCATGCAACTTTTGCGTCACACACGGCACATTTAGATTGGGCCAGCTTTGGTGTGTTAAGTCTCATATCGTCCGTATGGCTTTGATGCTCAAGTCTTCATTAATAGAGGGTTAACAATTTGCTTAGCCTCTCTTTCTCTCTCTAACTTCCTCCCACCACAACCCCACAGGCATCTGCATGCCTGATTTCACCAAGATTATCTATTAGCCAATTCATTCAGTTTTTCAAGCTAGCTCAGCTCAGGCTGAAAATTGAGAAAAAGGCAGTGTTCAGGAAAGTGGACATGGCAATGAATAGCTGAGCACTGAGCGCTATACATTTGTGGTGAAGGAATGAGAGGGAAATAGCGGAAGAACTGAAGAGAAAGAATTTCTATTTATTTGATGCACAATAAACAGCAAATATGGCTGTGCATTTGAGAAGACAGTTTCTGTAATTAGAATTTATGTTAGATTCCTTTGTTCATGTCTGAAAGCACAAGAAAATGACAACAGATAAACATCACAATCCAATGCAACATAACCTTTATATTTTCTATAGTAAAGCCCACTGACTTTAACAGGATGCACTCACAGAGAAATGGGTGTAGAAATGCAGCCTTAGATATAATACAGGACATGCAATTTCTATCCAAAAAAGCATACCGAACAGAGTAAATATTGCAAAAATGGAAATGATTATACATATGATGTCCAGACCACTGTATTATCAAAAAGAAAATAAATGGGGACAAAGTGTTAGGACAAAACCTGCTAGATCCATGAAGGACAAAGACACATTATATTTAAAATGTAGGCTTTGCTACTTTATTCCTTTGAAAAGAAGGAAAATCTTCTAAACCACAGGCATTAGTATGTTTAGGTCTCAGCAACCTCCAGGATGTTATAAAAGGTACAGGAGATGAATCATATCATTACAACAAAATAAAAACTGGGAATATGAAGGAAAAGTGTATGTGTAGACAAAAGTCCAACCAAAAAGTACACATCCATCCCCATTATAACTTTTGTTCTTTATAAAAGGCAGCACTATCAAGAAAAATATGAGCCTGTTAAAGGTATTTTATTTCATCATCTATGCATATGTAAACATCTTCATTTCAGAAATATCTGTGTAAGTAACAGTTTAAATCCACATCAGCCTCTGATTTAATTTTTAAGAGTGAATTACTTGAATCTCATTTGTAAAAGAAGCAACTGAGAAGTTCTAAAGGAGCAGAGCTGAATTTTTTGCCAAATTGCCCTGCTGGATGAAGTCTGAAAGACAACCTATTTCAATAATAAGGCAGTTAACCAGAAACTCCCTAGAAGAGAATCCTGTCCATTGTCAAGTTACTCAGAACTATCAAGAGGATATTACTACCTGCATTGAACAGTGAGGTAACAGATTTGAGTGCAATGCTGCTTTAGCAAGTAAATCAAGACATAGCAAGGCTTGTAACTTGTATGTGACAGATTAGCATAAAGGAAGTTAGGACATGAGAAAAACAGATGAGCCCAGTTCTCTCCTTTTCTGTGGAGTTGATACTTCACACTGGCCATTTAAAATGCAGCATTCTGCAGTACTGTTTGCTTTTCTAATAAAAAGCTAGGGGTTTCACTGCTGTGGGCTGAAAATCTTTTCTAAGAGCTCTAAGTGTTTTGCAAGTTGAATCTATGAAATCAGAAATATGCACCAACTGAATTCAGTGAAGTTAACTCCAAGGTAAATATGTATAGAATTGCAGTCCTGTCCCATTAACTCTTGTGTTTACAATAGAGTTTTTAAATAAAGTGAGCTAATTTGCATAGAAGTATATAGAAGAGAGAAAGGTTCCCACCCCTTGAAGCCTCCAATTATCATTTTTTCTCTCTCTGTAACCTCAAATTATCCTAAAGAATCTAAGAGTGAGAGAGAGTGCACATCTGTGTGTGTGTGAGGGGGCAGGGAGAATTGCTTATCCTTCAGCTGTGGTATTGATGGGGCCACTCATGATGAGCTCATGTACTTTAAAATTTACCACAAAATATGCTATTTCAAGGTGCGCTCGGTAAGACAGAAGCAATGGCAGAATGTTTATTTTAGAAACTGTTTCCCCAGTC